TGGGGCCTCCTTAGCACATGTCACTTTCTCCTCCTCCTCTTCTAATGACAGTCTGAAATTTTCACCTTAGGGCCAGTTTGTGATGATTTCCAAGATCCCAGGACTACTGGGGTTTCCCATCCGAGACCACTGCTGATCAGACCTATCTACTTACTCCAGGTCACATCAATGGCATGATGTATGGCAGAGACTTTCTCTTTGAACACTCAGCCCAGCACTGATAGTTGGGGTGCCAGAAGGAGCTCTGCTTCTGTGCTAATCACTTCTGAAGCAGATCAAGCAGAGCAGACATCTTAACAAACTGCAAGTATCTATTTTTCATTTGGGGTGTAACAGGCCTCAGATCCTCTGTATACCTGGCCCCAGAACCACAGGGATAGTCCTCAAGTCTCCCCAGGTACCTTCTGCCAGGGGCTCCAGAAGGACCATTCTTCCTGGCTGTGGTGTAAAGCACATTTTTGTCACCCTGTTGTGTCCTGACTGGCTTAAGGACTACTGAATCAACAATCTCCTGTTTAATTTGTTTCAAGGCTCCTTGTTCTTCAAGACCCCCCCTTTAAATAATTATTCTCCTGTATCACATGATAGAGAGGGCTGACAATCTGACTGTACTCTGGAACATGCATCCTCCAAAAACCCATAGCTCCTGGGAAAGCCTGTGTCTTCTTGTTGGCTGGTGGGGCAAAGCTGGTGTTTTTTAGGCTACATTCATTGGAATCTGACATCTTTGAGAGAATACCTTTCCCTCACAATTGACAGGAGCCACCTCCAGAGGTGATAGTTTCCATCTTCTTCCCAATTCCCTTGTGTCTTGGTTTGACAGACAGGTCTGCTAAGGAAGGCAGGAGCCTCCATTGAAATAGAATATATGACCCCCTTCCCTCCAAATTATTAAGGGGCTTTTGGGCAAAGATTTGGGAAAAGGAATAGCAGCTCTTTCCTACTATGCATCCCAAGGCAAACAGACACCAACTGCAGCATTCCCAACACCCAGGGGCAGAGACTCAGTCCCAGCCATTTCCCCTCTGGTGCCGTTC